AATAACGTAATAAATATTTGATGTCATTCTAATGTCATAGTGTTGGACGTGCACTATATTTTGTAAGAACACTAACTGCAAATGCAATATCTGGTCTTGAAGATGTAGCTAAATACAAAAGTACTCCAACCACTGTGAGGTATGGATATTGGTCTCTCAATATTTTCTCCTCCTCCTTGTATAGACGGTATGGATCATGACCATCACGACCACGTCCAACCATTGGTGTGGACAATAGATAAGCATCAATCATATTGAATCTTCACAAGATTCGTCTAATATATGTTAGTTAATAGAGAAAAATGCTACCATCTATTAGATACATAATCTGAAGATCAATGCAGAAAGTTATTTTTCCTAGCATTTTTATCTCAAATTCATGTATAAGTAGGTTTGTAGCTATAATACATGCAGATGTAGTACCCACTAGGTTAAGATCATCAACATATACAGCGATGATCACAAAATCAATTTTATCTCGTTTGATAAACAAACAAGGGATTAGTGGATTACTTATAAAATTATTTGTAATTAAATAATCTCGAAGACGCTGATACCACATTCATCCGGATTGTTTTAAATCATACAAGGCCTTACATAATTTAATACGATGATATTTTCTTGGAGCAGATTGATTTGGAGTTCCTATTTCTAAGCCAAGTGGAACTTTCATATAAATATTTACATCAAGAGAAGTATATAGATATGCAGTTATTACATCCATCAGATGCATCTCAAGGGTGGCATGAATTGTCATTCCAATAATATATCGAAATGTAATTGAATCCATGATTAGAGAATATGTGGATTTATAATCAATGCCAAATCGTTGAATAAATCCTTGAGCAATAAGACGAGTTTTATAGCGGATTATTTGGCCTTGAGTATCTCTCTTGAGTATTAATACCATTTTATATCCCACAGGGCGAGATGTAAGAGTGTCTACAATTGGACCAATGATTTTCTTCTTATGCAAAGAGGCATATTCTTCCTCAATAGCAGTTTTTTATTTTGACCAATCTGAGCAACGCATCACCTCTTCGATGGTTTGAGGTTCAAGATCGTCTTCCTCACAAGAAAAGGCTTCTATAATCATATATGAAAATGATTCATCTACTATAATAGATGGTCTGTCCCAATCGTCTATGCCAGAGAGAAACACGACTCTCTAAGATAGATGATGCAAAATTAAATATAATAGGAGGCTAAATCATAATTTGGTATAAACCATTTTCTGTAGCAAAAGCTTTTTCAATAACTTTATGGTTCTTTGCAAGAACCAAAACATCTTTTCTATTTAAAGTAGCGATCGAGAAGTGATAACCATTAGTACGTACATCTCGATAGCAGATCAGACTCCGAGGTGCTGAGGGTGCAAACATCGCATGTTTATATTTTATAATAGAATCCGCAGGTAATTTTACCATTGTTGTGCCCTCCTGGAAACAAAATGCATTTGTTCCAGCCATGGTCATCATATTTTTAGTTTGCCAAGTTGAAGATTTTTTAATAAAAAATCATCTATCTCGTAAGATAGTACATATTTTTGTAGAATCAATGAGCACATCATTTGATTCATCATTAGAGGTTCTATCATTCATATAAGCCTCTAAGTCATCAACACCAATTGAATCCATGGACGCATCCATGGTATGAACTTCACGAGCCTCAACTCGTAATTTCTTATTTTCTTGGAATATTTTAATAAAATATTGTAAAGTATGGCATACATGTACTAAATGTCCAATCATTCCGTACTTATGACAAGAACACATCTTTGATTTTTTTTTCTATTATAATTAATAGTAGAACATTTATTCTTTCCATATGAGTAGAAATGGTCTTGACTATGACTACCTTGATACTTATGAGTATGTTTTCCATGTTTATATAATTTTTTTTTAGACTTTGAAATATTAAGTGCATGAGATTCTGGAACTGTAGTTCCAATAGGACAAGCTTCTGCATTGTGCAAGAGTAGCTCATTTTTCTTCTTTACAAGAAGTAGATAGGACATGAGATCAGAATGACTCTGAAATTTCCTATTCTTGTATTGTTGTGCAAGCACAGTAGATGCAAGAGGAAATGTAGAGAGAGTTTTCTCAATCATTACTTCTTCAGAAATGCTTTGTCCACATAATCGTAGTTGTGAGATAATACTATACATTTCACTATTGAAAGCATTTAAATTTGGAAAATCCAAGATACGTAAATGTATCCAACTATGACGTGCACGTGGAAGAAAAATGGTCTTTTGATGATCAAACTTAGATTTAAGATTCTTCTAAAGTTCTGCAAGGTCTTTCATTTCCAAATATTGATGTTGTAATATAGGTACAAGATGACAACGAAGGAGAAGAAGTGCTTTCCAATGAATAGCAGGAGATATAGAAATACTTGTTGTAGGAGATTCTTCAAACATAAAGGCATCCGAGAGTTGTTCTGCAAATAAATTTGCTTTTGTCATTTTTACCCATAATAGATAATTGTTTCCATCCACAATCAATGGTGGAAATAAAAGAGCTTGAAAATGTTGGGATGTACTGGTAATAGTTAGAACCATAGTAGAAGCAGTTGAAGTACTTATTATAAATAAATCTATAAAGAAAATACAAGATCAAGTAGAAAAGTTGAGTAAAACGTACCTTAAAATATAAAGTCAAATAAAATGATAAACTTGAACTTGAAAAAATAAAAATATATAATTTTTCTTTTTTTTTTAAGGAGATTGTAGATTAAGGCAGCAGAACAGCAATAAGATGGCACAGCAAGCAGTTGCAAGGCAGCAGGGTGGCAGCAGCGGGTGGCAGTGGCGGACAGTAGCGGATAGCGGCGACGGACAGCTACGACGGCGGTGGCAGCGGCGGTGGCAGGCATTAGCACCAACGGCGACAGGATGGTAGCGACAAATTCGATGGCACTTTGATGGCAGGCGCAGGGCGTAGCAGGGAGCAGGGAGCAAGCAAAGGGTGGAGTTGGGCTGGATTCAGAGCAAGCAAGGCAGGGAGTGGAACAAGTGCTCTAAGCAAGCAGCTAATGTGTGAGAGGCCAGCAAGAAGAACAAGATCATGATGCAGACACTGAGTAAGGGTAGCAACAGGTTTGAAGAATCAAAGACTAGAGCAAAAAATTATGATAGTGTGTAAAAGAAAATCGTGCTGATAATGTGTTGAGAATGTTTAGAAAGATACAAGAGTAATAGTAAGTCATACACACACACAAGAGTAGTAGTAAGTCATACACACAAGAGGGTTTGTAAAGAGGGGGAGCTTCACACACACACAAATCTATTGATCTGGTTGTGTCTCGTATACAAGGGGAGCTTCACACACACACAAATCTATTGATCTGGTTGTGTCTCGTATACAAGAAGAGAAAAGAGGAGAAGATAAATAGTACTTCTCCACTAGACTCTAAATACTGTAGTTAGAATAATTACTATAGTCTATAGTAAATATTATAGAGAGCGTCGGCTACATTTAATGATCTCAATACTTTATAAACATCTACATGTCAAAGATGTTTTCTAATATCTTAACGTCATAGAACTGCCAGAGCCATAGTCTTAACCTTCAGCATATACAATCCTCTAAGTACAACACTTTACAATCAAATTATATATAAAAACACAATGGTAATTCACAATGAGATGAGAAATTTGAGAAGGAGCTAAAACTATATATTGACATCAAATCTAGTCTAAAAAGAAGTGTAGACATGAACATTTGTTAGGATTTCCTTCTTACTCATCTATTAGGATTACAATAGTTAGAATTTCATCTTTCATTTAACAAATGGATTAGGCAAGCTAGTATGGTTATATATTCATCTTAAATAGAATTATAATAAATAATACATATTGTGTATTTTAATATATATATAAAAAAAAAATTAGTATATTGAAGTTAGCATTATATTTTTATACTAAAATAGTTAAGATATAAGAATATTTTCAAACTATGGGCATAATTTAGAAGCTTGACTATTCATAATGATAAAATAAAATATTAAGTGGCTGTATTCAACAAAAAAAGAGTAAAAATGATGAATTCATATATCTTTTTTGTCTAAGTTAATAAGATAATTTAACCCACAATTGTAATTTTTTTTAAAAAAATATTATAATTATTTTAGATAAATTATTACATTAAAAATAAGGATTTAGATGCTTTAAATTTGAAATATATTTAGAATTATGGATATAGAGTTATTAGCTTACAATTAGTTAAAAAATTTCATAATTTAAGATTGGTTTTAATAGGACTTGCAACAATTTTTTTTACATTTAAAATTATATATTTATGCTTTTTGGTTTGTTAAATATTAAAAATTAAGATTTAACATTTGTTGTCTTTAATTTTTATTAGGGTTTTATTAATCTCACAATGTAAAATCTATTGTCTTAAGAATTTCTTAAGATTTTTTTAGGTCTAGAGTTCATTATATATTGTCTTTAGAATTTATTTTGGTTTCTTCAAAATTATGATTTAAAGTATATTGTATTTAGATTTTATTGAATTTTTTTGCAATAAAATTAGATTTATTGGACTTTCTATAAGATCAAAATTTATTGATGTTTATTTGTAGGATTTGATAGAACTTAGGTTTAGAAGTTTTTGCATATATATATATATATATATATATATATATATACATATGATTTTATTGTATGATTTTAATTCTGAAAGTCTCAAAAATAATTAAATTGTTTTCCAAAAGCATCATATTTTTAATGATAAATATATAATTCATTTATACATCATTTAAATTTCTTGAAAATAATATGAGATAAGAAAACCAAGTATGAGGAAGCTCTATAACGAAGCTCTATAATGAAGCTTTATTATAGGTATAAAAATATATTAAATAATAATAATAATAATAATAGAAAAAAATACGAATTACAAAATCATAAATTATATTTTAAATTAGAAGTGCTCTTCAACATAGAACATTGTGACAAGTAGACGTTGTTTTTCTTGTTCTCCTTCTTTTACAAATATTCGAAGCGCTCTTCACATAAGTGTTCTTATTTATTTATGATCAACAATTGCACCTCGATCGGAGATCGTCCCAATATCAGGTTTGAGAAGGATGGCTTAGGATACGTTGCTCCATGTTGCTGCGATGGTCCATGATCTGGAACCATTCACTAATATCGCCAGTCCCACGTTCAGTCATCCTAAAATAAATAATCAGTATTTCTCTCCTTCCTCTAAACTAATTCTCGTAAATACGTGGGCTAAGAAATTATGTCCAGGTGGTCCTATCATGTACTTCAGGTGTTATCGAATTTAAAAATTCGTTCACATTCAAGTGTTGATAAATGGCACTGCTTTGAATCATGGAACTGGAAGTCCCCATCGACTACACATAGCAGTGCACTTTCTCTATGGGCTATAACCTACAAATAATGCAATTTTACGAAGTATGGGTTGCCTGATTGATCATTCGGTGTTCGAATGCCATGACATCATCCACAAGGCTCTTAAGAGCGTCATCGAACTGGTGAGTAACGTTGTTGAAGCTTGTGACGTTAACATCAGGGTCTAGCAAATCCACACAGATCTCACCTTCTGCCTTGCCAATAGCACCATGGAAATGATAGTATTGCAGAAGCTCTCCTTCCCATTTTGTCACGTGATGAGTTTGATTGGCTCCTGGCGGCATGCTCATGGCCATAGGCTCGTGCGGCCCCGTCGCCAAACAGGAGTCTGATAGAACGAAGTTTTTGCGATCGGGGTATTCCCCAACATCAGTTTTTCTATACACCATCTTGCTAATTCCCCATTCATTGCTGCAAAAACAAGTCATAGGATGCTTAAAAACAGCGGAAGCATACAGAATTAACTTCTTTAACATCGTTAGGCTTGTGGAATTCAAGAAGAAAAGGAGTTCCTATGGATTATCACCTGTTTGGTTGTGAACCACGAAGACAATGAGAGTAATCCATGGACATCTGCTTAATTGACACGCGTTGCAGACGCTTCCCCCAGAAATTTTCTGTCTCGATCCTCTTAATGACCTCGTTCAAGTTGGATCCTGCTGGTCTGTGTATGTACTCATCGACGTCGAAGAACCAGGTCCACTTTGCCATTGACTTCGCTCTAAACAGGCAGTCATTTAGAATGACGAACTGGTTGTGATAGTGGGAGTTGAATCTTGCTTCCTGTCGGATATTCATTATTATCACAACCCCTAGTTTCACCCAAGGCTGCAGCACAGCGCGAACTTGTTCATCGAATCCTCCGGCATCGTAGAGGTAAAAGTGAGTTCGTTCACCGAAAAACCAGACATGATACGCAATCCATTCACGGATCCTCTGCGCGTTGATCGAACCGTAAATCGGAGCCCCACAGTAGACATGGTCGTACTGATAAGGCTCCTGGTAAAGAGAGGCGTTGAACTCGCCCGCTCCTTCCTCCTTCGCTACGAAGTTCACATCTTCGAGGCCCGAGGCATCTTGCGTCCCGTGAGTAACCTGAATCTCGAGACGGCCTCCAGATCCATCGTTTCCTATGGGGGTGTCGAAGTTACAATAAACTGCAGTGCCAGTGTACTGCTTGCCGTAACTCACATGGGTTGGAACCGGCTGGAGAAATGTCCCATTAGTTTTGATCACTGGCGCGGCTTCCTTCGCAGGATGCCATGAGCAGAAGAAGGCGGGATTAGAGTACAGGAATAATGCTTTGGGCCCAAGGCCAATCGTAGCGAAAGACTTCGGTGCCACGCGGTATGTTGAAAAGTGTACAAAGAGGAATGTGGCAGTGCCCATTGGCAAAAACCGTCGAGGTAAGCCATAGCTCGAATCATTCAGTTTCTCAGCAGCCCTGTCTGCCACTATAGACGGAAGCTGCCATTCCTTGACTACCTTGGGTTCACTATACTTCGCTTGGGAACCTTGTATCGATCCAAATCCTAGATAATTGTCCTGCGGGGATTTGAATCGGAGTAGAATCACTGCGAAGCTCAGCAGTAAACAGACGGACACCAGTAAACGAATCCCAAATACTTTCTCAAATACTTTCTCTCTATCAGAACCTCCTATACGCTTCGCCATCACTCCGATTTCTGCACATTAAATATCTCACATAGACGCGAATCACAAACAGCGACATTGGACGCCATGCAAAATTCACTGTATCTTACAAACTGTTTTCGCTTTTGTGACCAGGGGCAGATATGCAACCGTTAGTATAATCACAGCTGCCCAAACATTTCATGCACAGCGAAAGCTAGTACAGAAGAAGTAACAAACCTTTGCAGATGCTGCATGCAACTTATCCGAAATAGATGGGAATCCTTTGCAAGAGCGGTACTCCAGAAAGCCTGCGATTGTCAACCTCGCAAACCAGCAAGGAAATATCAAAGCTTGGCCGAGACAAGCGGTACACCTGTTAATGATTGCTATCAATCAGTAAGTCTCCAGAGTGCTCGGCATTCACAAATGAATCATAGATTCGTGAAGTCGACTTCGAGTTGTTACAACCAGTTGCAGTAACCCCGTATCAGCATACTTGCCGATGCAAACGATGCAATCAGGGACATCCAATTCATCGCCGAATACAGAGGGAGAACGCCGTGTTTCTCCTCAAGTCAGCCCCACAATCTGGACATGATTTCGACTCACCAGACCTGCTATTGAGATCCAAACGCCAAGAAGGTTCAGGATGTCAGGGAGGTGAAAACAAACTTGCAATGTACTCATGCACAAAATTAAAGAGAGAGTTTTCCAAGAGATAAACCCTGAGGTTGTTACTCTGAAAGTTATTTCAGAATCATCAATTTGGTGGCAAAAAAATACCAAGCAATATTAACGTGGTAACCTTAGATAGTGATTGTGTTCGGCAAATAGCCATGTCATTTCAACATCCACCTTCACAGTTCTTATGTGGAACTTCACTCCCGGTTTAAAATCCATGGAGTAATTCTTTACTTCGCAACGATTCGCAAGCTGATACTTTTCCAGCTATGAATTAGATTGGGTGTCCACGTGTAAGGACCCACGAGAAAACCTAAACATGACAACCTCATTTGCTCAAGTCTAACCTAACTCGATTGGATGGCTTCTCGTCACGCATCGGGGGGATGATCGCTTCAACTGGTGGACGTCACTTTCTTCACTACAATTAGAACTTTGGCGGAATAAGTCAGTCGTTTTGTCGTTTTCCTTGCGAATCGATAACCGAATATAGCACTTCTTCTCTTGCTTCACTTTTTGTAGGCTGTAACTCGACTGTGAATGAAACTAACAAGAGGCACCGTGGCTACGCGTGTATCGGGTGCCCATTATTAGACATTTTCAGCAATAACCCACGCAGATCAAGCCACGAATACTGCGAGCCACCATTTTCTGAGAGGGAGTTCCTTTACGCAGGTTCATGTGCTGAACAAGTATTTTGTACACTGCATGGTAATTTGAAATATCTGGCCTGTGTTTTCGGCGGTCAATATCAAAACCCACATTAGGGTGGAAACTGCGTGCAAATTGGTCATAGTGAAGAGAAATTCCTGGACCCACCTTGTCGATAGAATGTTTGAAAACTGCTGAGAAACTGAATAAGACATGCAAAATGGAATTTTTTAAAAGTAAGATCCTATGGGCCACAGAAATTTGTCCAGCGAGGGAGCATGAAGATTCCGCTTGCGCGGTCATGTTCATGATGTTAATGGTACCGCCATCCAAAACATTGTGCAATGCCCACCAAGCGGTGCATTGATAAGCGTGAGCTACGCGTGGCTTGCTGTCTGGCCGGATCGAAGCCTCCGCCTGATATCTCGACTCCCTCCGATTTCTCCCAATCTGTAGGGGCGAGCTCGCTCATTCTCACACACTCATCTGTACAACCACGATTCCGCTCCTTGGAATGCGCGGTCCTTATTCCTGATGATTGAAGTGCCTCTTCCCGGGAACCATCTAGAGTTGCCACCTATGATTTCAGAATGAGAACTCGAGGCCTTTTTGAGAAAATTGCTTGACGTTTGATCGTCGTCGCAAAGCCAGGAACTTCTGAGATTATAGTCGCTGACAAAACCGTGCTGAGGTTTTCAGTGGCCTTTTTCTCATCGTCCATAATCACCTCAAAATTACTCAGAACCGTAGCTTGGAGCAGAGTTGCTGCGAAATTCTCTCGAAGTTGTGACGCAACATAGCCGGTGTGGTAAAGCAATGCAACATTAAAATTGAAAAATAAAATAAAAATGATTTATTTATACCATGTGAATCATGCACTTCATAGGATGAGATTCTGAATTGAAAACTTTGCAAGAATATCCGTTGCATATAATGACAAAATAACAAAACACTATTTGTTTTAAGCCATTTGTAAGTTTGCATGAATGAAAGTGCACATGGAAAGAAAATCAATTCTTTAATTTCCTTAAAGATTGGTGCATGTGGTAAAGTAAATTAATAAATCTGAAAGTAGAATAAGTAACATTATAGAGGATATTACTTTAGGAAAGTTGCTATTGATTAAAGGGTTGGTTCTTGGTATGTAAGAAAGTCAAGAGATAAAGTAGATGAACGGACAAAGAATCTTAAGAGTATAAAGAATATACTAAAAATATATTTTTATAATAGATAAGATAGCAATGAATAGTTTCAATAGAATGTTGGATGGATTTATTCATTAAATGATGGAAGTTGTCTATTAAGGTAGCAACCACCACCTACAATTAATAGGTGTTGGAAATAAGAGATATCTTATTTCATACTCTCTTTATGAGAAACCTTATTAATGCTATATATCGGTGACTTAGAAGTTCTTTTTCTTTAATAGATTATGGATCCACTCACTTTTAGTTGTAAGTTTTGAAGTTCTTTGAAGTCTTTCTTGTTGTAAAGAATAGATCTTATGGTAGTTGTGTCAGGGACAAGAACTCGATGAAAGCTAAAGAGTAAGTGAGACTTTTCTCAAAAAGAAATAGGACAAAATAGAAATATGTATATTAAGAAAGAAACTGGAATGGCTATTGCCAAAATACAAGAAAACTAGAGACCCTTAAAACTAGACTAGAAGCAAGAAAGGAGTTGACAAGAGTGAAGAGGGCTTCACTCTTGCCTCTATATATACTATCTAACTAGAAGCCACGTGGCGATGTTCTATAAGACCTCCAATATATGTTGACTTTCTAGGCCACATGCCTTTGCTTGCAAGGCAAGTTTTCTATGGATGGACCACGTAGTTAGCTTGTTCTTTAAGCTTCCAACATGTGTGGCACATGGCTAACTTGTTGACCAAGTTTCTAACCTAAAAGTCAACTATAGACTCCTATAAAGTCAAAGCAGCGTCTATGAAGCTTCTAAGAAGCTTCTGTAGAAGATATTACACAATTAACCTACTTTTACATACTTTTATCTATTCATATAGGTAATTATATGTATGTCCGTGACATTATCCCTCCTTCTAAGGACGAGTTCCACGAGGAGCGGTGATTATATATTGAGAAAATCTAATATGCGGCGAATTGTATTTGCTACATACTCTGATCTTTGTTCTCTTCGAAGATAGTTGATGGGTCCTCTTAGCCATCGATAGTGTCCCATTCCAGGGCGAGAAGACCACCCTGTTATTTGATCACTGTTGAAGCCTTCATAACTTCCTTCAAATAATACATTTGAAACACCATCAGGAGTCGTTCCTATCTCCAATAATATCACCAAACATCGAGAATCTCTTCCAAGGTCGTGATACCAAACGCGTTGTATCTCACCATCTATTCGAGGAAGAACATGTCGTTCTTGAGGGTCTTCATTTCGGTTGCGTCGTCTTGAAGGTTGTGACAATCGCAATGTCTCATCCGGTAAGTCAGCAAACGAAGGTTCTTGAGTTGAATCCGCTGGTTGTTGGCTCTCCATCTAATTAGCGTCACAAAATGCAAAGAAGTTACAAACAAGGATAGGAAATTGAATGTTATCTTGCCTCAATCTTGTCTCTTTTATAAGAGAGGTTTTCATCTTGGTTTTGATGGATGTCGTTGATAAAAAACTTTGACTTTAGCTGATGCATTTGCTAGATTCCTGGATGGCTCCCATGTGCGCTCACTAATATCATATCCGCACCAATGAACAAGATATTCCAGCTTATTTCGGCGCCGCCTTGAGTCTAATATCTCTTCCACCTCAAATTCTTCATTATTATCTACTTCTATAGGAGGCGGTGGCATTTGTCTTCTTCCTTGTATATCCACTGTCTTATATGGTTCAAGAAGAGACACGTGGAATACAGGATGGATCTTCATTGACTCCGGTAGATGTAACCGATATGCAACTGGGTTGATCTGTTCAGAAACAGAAAAGGGGCCAAGCCTACGATAGTCCAACTTGTCACAAGGTCGAGTAGTCTTGATATTGCGACGAAGTAGCCATACCTTATCACCCACGTTGAGTTGTGGTTGCTCTTTACGATATACATCTGCATTTATCTTTTGTCGTTCTTGAGCTTTCTTCAACTGCGCCTTCATTATTGCATGTAACTCTGACAACCGATTTGCCATATCTTCTGCTGCAGGATTATCAACTTTTGAAAAATCAAAAGTATCAAGTCGTGGATGATAGCCATAATTGGCAAAGAAAGGTGTTTGTTGCGTGGAGGAATGTACCGTATTATTATAAGCAAACTCTGCCAATGGCAGAAGGTTTGTCCAATCATCTTGTTGGTAGTTGATGGTACACCTTAAATACTGTTCCAAGACTTGGTTTACGCGCTCTGTTTGTCCATCAGTTTGAGGATGGAAAGCTGAAGATAGCTTTATGTCCACTTTTAAAATCTTGAAAAGAGTCCTCCAAAATCTCGACACAAATTGAGTTCCCCTATCCGATATGATATCTTTAGGTAATCCATGATAGCGATAGATATTATCAATGAAAAGCTTAGCTGTTTCTTCACCTGTGATAGATTTTGTACATGGCATAAAATGTGCCATCTTGGTGAAACGATCTACTATCACAAATATAGAATCATAAGATCTTGAGTTTGGAAGATCTGTGATGAAATCCATAGAAACAGAAGACCATGGTTGTTTTGGTATAGGTAATGGCTGAAGAAGTCCGTAAGGTCGATGTCGAGGAATAATTGATCTTGAACAAATATCCCATGATTGTACAAAGTCTTTGACTGACTTCCACATTTGTGGCCACCAAAAATCTCTTGATATGAGTTCCAGAGTCTTATTATATCCAAAGTGCCCTGCTGCTGGAAAGTCATGACGTGCTTGAAGAACACGCAAACGTGCTTTTCCTTCTGGAACATATAGGCGTCCTTCAAAATATAATAGATTATTCTTGAACTCAAACTTAGAAGAATCATGAGACTTGAAAGAATTATTCTCGATATCATGAACAAGAGGGTCTGAGGACATACTGGACTGGATTTGCTTGAGAAAAGTTGAATCAACAGTCAATGTTGATTTCACTGCTCGGAGATGAAATTGCTCCGGTTTCAAGAGGACCGTTCTTTGTTGCTCAAAAGCTGCATCTCCTTCTTTTGGTGCAAAATAAGAACGTCTAGACAGGGCATCGGACAAACCTTGTTGTTTTCCTGGCCGATAAGTGATAATGAAGTCGAATCTTGATAAAGACATACTCCAACGAGCTTGACGACGATTCAACACGCGTGCTGACATGAAATACTCGAGGTTCTTGTGATCTGTATACACAGTGACTGGACTAGAAGCACCTTCTAGATAATGACGCCATTCTTGAAAGGAATCCACGATTGTAAGAAGTTCTTTATCGTGGATCTCATAATTGATCTCGACTGCTGAGAATTTTCTTGAATGAAAAGCT